TCAATTTTTTTATTTTTTTCTGGAAAATATTTCAATATTTTAGTTTTAATTTTTCTGGAGAAGTTTTCAATGTTCACGGACAAATTTCGTACTTTACAATTCCTACGCAGGACAGAACCGGCTCGTTGCTCGGACGGATAATTTGCGAGGAGTAACACTACCCACCCGGAGGCGGCGCTGGCGCGAGCGGGGCGACAAAGCGGGGCTCGGTCTTCTCGGACGGTCTCGGCGGGACGCTCTGGCGGGACGCAGCGGCGCGGGACAAGGTATGGAGGTGCGGTCACAACTCGGGTTTCCGAGGCTGTTGCTTTGGCTAATGAACGCGCAAAGCGTGCCAAAAAGTGTGGCGGGTGAGAGGAAAGTGCGGGATACGGCAGCACGACGGCGGCGATGGGGATGGCCAGCCAGGTCCCGGCAGGGAAATTTGCAAAGTCTGTGTCCGGTATAGGCGCGGACGATGTCCACCAGCGGCGGGCGGCCCAGGCCCACACCCCGCACACCTGCACAATGACACCTCCGCCTGAGGCCAAGGCAGGGCCAAGGACAGCCGCCCGGGCCGGGCCGACCCCCAAGGGTGACTGCGCGCCGGGAGTGACACCTCATCCGATCAACCGAGGCACAAAAGCGCAAGAAAGTGAGTCAGTTGAGCGTTTTACAGCCCGTAAAACGAGGAGAACGGGGAGAGGTCGGGACCGACCTCCCGGCCGGGGCCAGCCGGCAGGATCAGGGAGTTCAGGGGAGGAGGCACCACTCGGCCCCGCGTGGGCGGAGCACCACTAAATATTTACACAGAGGGCCTGCGGGCGGCGCGGGCGGCCGGAGCTTGGGAACCGAACGGGAGGAGAACATCTGGGGGCACCTGGCGCTGAGTGCTTACGGACGCCCCCCCGGGTCCCTGTCCTCCCCGGTGACTGACCCCCCCAGGGGACACCACACACAAAAGGCCTCGGCACCGCGGCCATAGCCGGATATACTCACTTCGAAATCCTCGTCCCTCTTCCGGCGTGGAGCGCTCCGTGCCCTCCGAGCCGGGCGTCGCGGTGCCGTCGCGGTCCTCGGACATGGGGGTGTCGGAGCTCTCCTCCTTGACGACCTGCTGCAGGTTGGGCGGCGACACGGACACGGAGGCCGGCGACGAGCTGTCGGAGCGCTGCTGCGGCTGGCCGTTCATGTAAGGCCGGTCCTCGGCGGCGGCGCCGGGCGAGAACAGCGTCGTCTCGTGGGTGCCGTTGCTCGTCTCGATCTTGAGGCACTTGGAGGGCGGCGCGAAGGCCGACGCGAACCCTTTGCTCTCGTGGACGGGGGACGAGCCTAAGGGTCGGAACGCCCCGGAGCCAAACGGCAGCCGTGGGTCTAGCGCCGGGTGCAAGAACTGGGGCTGCAGGTGGTGGAGAAGATGCGCTGGGAGACCGGGGTAGCCATCCATATGCCGGAGACCAAAGCTCGATGCGGAGAATGGAATGTGCAGATCCTTCACCTCGGGAGTCTGCAACAGTACGAGGGAAGGTAGTCTGGCAGTCTTGCCCATCCCCACAACAAGAGCAAACAGCCAGACGTTAAAATACCTGTGGGTTAAACGGTCTTTGCATACGCAGGGCCTCAGGCAGCCCTCCAGCTTGAGAAAAAACAACCAGTGCAGGAGGTGGCAGTGGATTGGGCGCATAAGCAGAATTTTCCATCTGGAACACAAATGCGATACTAGGTTCAGAACACTGTGGGAGTTTCTGATCAGGACACCAATTGCAAAACACCCAGGTGCATTGTGTGGAATATGATACCACATGGTACGATCACAAAAACTGGTTAGGATGAGAAACGGAAATCTCGAGGACACATTAAGTAATAACCCGAGTTAGTGTGAAAAGGAGAACCATCGGGTTTGGATTGGGCGAGACACTAAACAACTCATGCAGAAACTATCACCACTTAAAAAGTCCTTGAGTCCACCACTCCAACAACACACATTCAACTGAAATCACTTGAGCGATGCGTAGTATCCAAATAATCCAGCTCAGGTGGCGTAATCCAAATACTTTAGTCCTTCCAGGGGCGGACACTGCCGGTCGCGCTCGTGTGCCCACGGCTAGCGCCACGGCAGACCCACTCGGCACGATTCCACAACGAATCCCACACAATCTAGTCGTAATCCAGGCCGAGGAGCACAGCGGTTGGTAGCAGCACGGCACCACTTTTACAGGTTAGGTTTTACAGTCCTGGGGCCAACTATTTTGGCGGAGGCAATGACAGGCCGTAACAACTTCACAAATTCATCACAGTCGGGTGTCCGTCGTCACACGAGGGCACTGCGGGGGCGGCGAACAGCTGATATGCAAATCCAGACCGCGACACAACAAGTCGCCAGTGCGCTCCATAACCACCGCCAAAGGGTAAACACTCGCTTTTAAACGCGGGGACAGCGCGATGTCACGACCGGCCGGCCTCGCGGGGCACTCCCCGGGCCGCAGCGCGAGCTGACAAGGCGCGGGGGAGGAGCAGCCAACGTCAACAAGCACACGTTGAGCCGTCATCTAGAAAAACCGGTGAATTTCGCGGATATACACAAGTCGGCCTGAACACACTGCGATCACATTGCGGAAGGCACGGTGGGTTTACCTTGAATACGTTAATGGGACTGTACCATGTGATAACTATTAATGGATACGAGAAAAAGACGAAAAAGGGTTTAATTCATGTCAACAAATGTGCGGAGGAGCGCGGTATTGCTTCCACACAATGCACCAAAACCCAACTGAGCTTCATAACAACTTACCTACTCTCTCATGTTGACTCGCGGAGCATGCTGGGAAAACACATGGACGGCGCTCTGCTCTGATTGGCTGGTTTTTCTCCGCTAGAGCGCGCTGCCGGACGGGCCGTAGAGACTCCGCGCTCCGAGCGCCGAGTATCGACTGCCGTCAAGACCCCGAGGGCGGGACTGATGTTCAGGGAGTAGCGACGATACAGATCGCCATTGCCGCCAGTTGCAACGGGCCACTGCAATAACCTAACCAAATTTACTTGTAGCGTGTAACTTTGAGACTGTCCCTGCAATGTTACAAGGAGAGTAGACTAAGTCCTGCGTTTAATCCAGCGTTAGAAAGCTTTCCTCTGAGCAGATCACTTCATTCCCACACTCACGCCCCCAAGGTTTCCGTTGGCCTCACCGCCTTGTAAACACACACCCACTGCCCACGGCGTCCCACGCTCAATCCTCCGTGAGATTTCAAATGATGACAACGGGCTCGTTGATTTGTTGTTGTGCCGGTTGTGTTTGGCGTGTGTAAATTCAATGAAAAGTTGAAAACAGACGAAAATTTCAAATCTGGAGTTCGTAGAGTGATTGATTTCAAAATGGCAAGCATAAGGGACGACACGGATATTCTGGACTCTTCAATCATCAGTCAAGCGAGTAAGTGCAAAGAGTGAGCGGCAACGACTAACCGTCAGTTGACAGTGTTCGAATTAATCGGCTTGCTTACCTCTTTGTTTTAAATTTAACTACTCTCTTACATGCTAAATTTACGAATAGAAGCATGTTCCCTTATTCTCTGATCACCTGTCCTCGCTGTTTCCAGTTGGATTCTTACTTAAACTGACACTCGGCCCATCTCGCTGGTGAAAGTGAATCTGCTTTACAGATCTCAGTGGAACCCTTTGACATGTACCTTATTTTTATTTTTGTAGGGATTGAGGATGATACCTGTTCAATTTCAAGTGGAGTTTTTCGTGAGCCTCGGAGAGGAATCTGGCTGGTAAATTTTCATTGATACTTGCCCCCGCATCAAATACTACTGCTCCTTTGGTACTAACTGTGACTGACTTCTTTTCAATTTGATTGCAGCGCAAAAGAAAAAGAAAGGAGGATGGGGATTCTGTTAGTGTTTGTTCCCTAGATGTTTCATTAAATTCAGAGCCAGATGTTAAGAAGAAAAAGGGCATGTCTAAGGTTGCATCTTTTGCAAACCTTTTATCAACCCCAATGAAACCTGTCATGAAATCCTTGCAGGTACAAACATTTATCAGTGGGGTTGTGATATTGTTTTGTGTATTGCATCGTAGTTAATATTCTTTGTTTCTCATTCCAGAGAACATTGACAAGTGGCAAGGGGGACACACCCAATTCTTTGATGGGTTCGCCATACTCTCCACGAAGAGCCTCAATGTGCCCTCCCACTCCAACTTCTGCGTCGACTAACCCATCCCCAAAGAGTTCTAGGCAAGTACGCCTACATCGTAGCTGGAGCCAAACACTTGGCAAAGGAAATGCTCAACAAGCTATCTTAGGTTTAAAGGAAACTAAAAGACAAGAGGTGAATGTTTTTGAAGTAACAAATACCTAATCTTAAT